TAAGCGTTTTCAAGATGGCCGAGAAGACGTTGAAGATGATTCACGCCTTTCCACGTCAAAAACGGATGACAATATCGTATAGTATTTGATTACAGTTAAAATACCGATATTCCACATATAGTTTTAATGAGATAATTAAGTGGTGGACATTTTGTGCGCCATCCTGTATAATCGATAAATAAAAAAAATTAAGATATCAGTATAAGAGAAAAATTAATTAAAATAATTTGAGGTTCACTTTGTTTTACATGTCACACGCGCAATTCTTTTATTTTTAACAAATAATGAGCGCGATAATATAAATACAGCGTATCATGCATGACGTAAATATTCGTACACGTAGAAATGTCTCGTGTTTACCCCCGTAATACGTGGACTTCTCGTATAAATTTTTATGGAAAATTCCGTCATTTTCCATAAAGTTTTTCGAAGGTCCGACAATACTACCATAAAGCCGAGGTCATATTGTGCGGAGTAAAATAATCTCATGACGCTATCACTTAGCTCTTAGTTAATTAGCCATAAACCAAGTGGAAACGTACAAACAACAGACACGCGCATGCAGTTACAATATAAATTCGTTCTTATTAAGCATCAATTGGTGTTGTGATGACAATTACAAGATGAAGAATGCAGAGTCAGTGATCATCGTGCGCCCTTGCGCCCATGATGTGCTTTCGACGATGCGTATTGTTTTCCTAATTGGAAATGTACACTGAGAAAATAACAAAGAATACTATATATTAGTTTTAACATAGTAAATTTAATAGCAAAGAGCAAGCAAATTTAATTTTACAGTTCAAGAGAAAATAACATAAGGTATACTATAATTAATTTCATTTTTTATTTCTCCTTTTAAAAAAGTCCAATTTGTGACATTAAATAACTCATCAGTAATAATAAATGAAAGCAAAAAAAGTGTGGTTAAATAAATTTTACTCTAAATTGATGGAAGAGAGTAAAAAATAACATTATATTATAATTATTTACAAAAAATTGAATCGTATATTTTATATATATTATATACACCGAAAAAAATACATGTAATTTTACATGGAAATTACATGTTTACTGAAAAATTGCCTAAATATGATTGGAAATTTACATGCATTTTTTTCAGTGTAAATATGCTTTATATACGATTATACAATTAAGATCTCTTTTAAATTAATAATTTTTTCTAAAAACATTGTAGTACTTTTTTTACAAAAAATAAAAAACTGAGTCGAACAATATTTTAAGAAAATTCTGTTCAAGAGAAAGATGTAATTACATTTTACACGCGTAATATGTAATAGTGACACACAAAGTTAAAGCTGTTAAAATCATCCAATTTTGTCTTTTATTTTTTTTCTATATTTCGAATCATTTTGATAATTCGTTCCATCAGATTAGATTGTCATATTATACACTGTATATGTATGTAAAGCTCATCCATATAGGTATATGTAATATATGTATAATTCTTTTTAATTTTTCAGTTTTTAAAGGAAAAAATAAATTAAGTTAATACTTCTGGAAAATTATTATTTAATAATAAGTTAGACTCGATCGATATGTGAATAACACAAATAAACGAAAAAAGCTAAATTTAGTCGAAACGGTTTATAGTGTATTATATACTTAAAATAAAGTAAAAATTATTATTATTATTCCTTTCATTAAAATATGTAGTTTTGTCGCAATCCAGAAAAAATATACAATTGTTTCTTGCAACACTCCATTTATTGTAACTAGTTATATACAGGAAGGGATGAAGAATTGCGAATCAGAATTAATTAATCAAGATTGTCTATGAAATTCCTCGCAAATGTTCTTCTGCAAACGTTTTTGCAATGTTTGCTTTAATTGCGTTGTTCTTAGAAATAATTTGTAATAAATGCATGTTTTTCTGCATCCGGAGAAGACCGTTATTGAAACAGATTATCTGTTGCGAAATCAACGTCTCGTTATATCACCTTAAGGAATTATTAAGTACATATTTATGATTAGATTAACGGCGATGATTCGTCGTGCTGATTCGAATCTGCAATACTTTTGGTTATCAGTATAATTTGTCGAACAAATGACTTCGATTTAATTCACGTATAAAAAAATTGCTGATTCGAAAAAAATACGAGCATATTTTCTGCATAAATGTATAAATCTGATGCAAATATAACATTATGCGAAAAAAGGAATAACTGAATTTTATCTTTAATTATTAATTTTTTTAGCTATTATACATATATTAAAAGTACTGAGTAATTTTTTTAGAAATTGTAGAATCTTTTTTGAATGAACAGTATTAAAGTATTGTTTTAGATTTATTAAATTTCTCTCTCTCTCTCTCTCTTTCGATTAAAATATTCCTCAATTGATTTTTAATTGACATTTTAAATTTAAAAATATATGATTTGATTAAAAAAATATATTGAAAATTGAAAAAATACACAAAAGCAACCATTTATATTTCTACATGAAGGAGCGTTAGTAAATTTTAAGGAAACAAACAGAAGAAAAATAAAATAAGACGAGAAATGACGGATTTGAAACGAAAAAACTCGAAATCAACAAAATGAGACAAAAGAAAGAATCGATATTCTGGGATATATGCGACGAAAAGGTAAAGCTGTTGAGGCACTTGGGTATTTTATTTATATATACAAATTGAATATAGAAAAAAATTAGCCCTGTCATTAACCCTGTTAGAAAGCTGATCCAGTCTTCAAAGGATTAACCGATCGACCCCCCTCTAATTAAAAATAATTTTATTAATTCAACGACAGTATTAATGAAACGAATACGCTATATGCTCCTGTTTTAATAAAATGTTATTTGTTTCATTAATATTGTTATTGAATTAACAAGATTATTTTCAAGTAGATCGCTGTTGACTAATGCTATATATTTATCACAATATTATATAAAAAAATAAGGTTCTTTCCTTATACGATATATGTATTATATATAGAGTCTCGTTTTCAGAAAACATCGAGGTCTTGTAGATATTTACAAAAATATTTTATTAAAGATATTTCCAAAACATTTGTAGAAAATATCTTTGTGGAATTTCTAAAAGATTATACGTATACCTCCATTAGACATCCCTGGCGGAAAAGTTTTACGAAAAACTAAGAATCTCTAAGACAAACAAACCTCACTCTACGTCCCACTACAAATATCTACGAAAAATTAGAAATTGCTAAGATTTGGTCTCAATCTATGTAGATTTTCTGTACTTTTTGTAAAATTTTTTTCTGCCAGGGATGTTAAAAAGACATCTCAAAATCTTTTTAAAGCATCTCTAATAAAATGTATATTCATGCAAAAAGTATATTCGAGTAAACACAGCTAGAATATATTATATTACTCAGTAATATGATAAAAAATATGCAAATATATAAATTAAAAAAATTTTAATTTAAATTTCAAGTACATCCTTCATTAAAAGCGAATTCTTCAAAAATACTAAACCAATACGAAGATATATTGTATACATTTTAACAGAATCTTTTTAAATTATAATGTTGCCACAACCAACAATCATTATACTTATTATTAATTGTCGATTAATAATAAGAACAAAATCGATCCGTTATATAAAATGTTATGTCAACAAATTAGCAATTAATAATAAGTAAAGATAATTAGTTGCGAAAACATTATTATAATAATATACGAAAGATTCTGTTGCAACGTGCGTAGTTATGGTATATGGTGTCCTCATATTAGTCTAGTCTTTATAAGACAAAATATTCTTATAGAATGTTATATAAATATTGAAAAGAGTAAATATAATATTCATATAACATTCTAGGAATATTGTGTATGACTTGACTAAAATCGTTTTAAAAACATTTTTTAATCAAGTTTTATAGACGTGTTCTATTATGTTCTAAAGAATATTTTAAAAGAGACATTCTTTAAAACGTTTGTTGCGTTCTCTTGGCACGTGTAAAGCCATGTAATATCTGATTCACAAATACAAGAACATTTCATCATCAATTGAATACACAGTATCTTGCAGTAAACATTATAGATATAATGACGAATTATGTGTACGGTACAAATGATTTAAGTAAAATACTTGGAACGAGAATACACGGAATTTCCACATATAATTTTAACTTCAAATACACACACACGCATCAGAGCCAAGTTTAATGGAAAGAAGATTAGAGGCACCTTATCAATTACTACCCGATAATTCTAAAAATAAAGCATAGAAGAAACCACTTCTCTTAGAAAATCATGTCGAACCAAAAAGAATTAATCTAGTGCATGAATATTAATTATGTTTGATAGAATGTTATTTTCTGATGAAATTTTTTTTTTAGTATAAAATACTATCAATTCGTGAAATACTATCAATCTGATAAAAGTGCATGTTTGGGATTGCTTTTCAAATTAAGGGTTTTAAAATTTATTTCTACATACAGAGAATTTGGATGCTAAAAAGGTAGTTAAAATTTATCAAAGAGCATTAATATCATTTGCTGAAAAGTGGTTTTGAAACAAGTCACTGGATTCTTCAAGATAACAATGACTCGAAGCATCGGAGTTGTCTTTACTCCAAATAGAAAGAAAATGACTGATAGTGAATCGACTGATATCGAAACTGATATTGAACTTGCTCTCACAGTCACTAGACGCAAATCCAATTGAAAATGTTTTGAGAATTAATGCTACATGAAAAAAAAAGTACACGGTGAAGCAATTATTTCGACAAATTCGTTCGATATGGCAATATTTACTAAATATAAGAGTAAAATTGGTAAAAAATGTCGCCTCGATATCAAACAATAATTGGACGATTTATTACTACATAAACGTTGTAATATGTAAGATTTAGTTAAATAAATTTATTTCATTGAATATAGGGAGTACAGATACAATTTATCACCCCACATTAGTAAATATTTTAAGAGAAAATATACGTATATATAGCTTAAGGAATGTACAATTCCCATTAACTCAATCTAATAATAAGTAATTATGATTAACATAATTCCCTTACAATAATATCTGTAAGCTAAATCTAATTTTTGCTGCTATCACATTGCGTAATTAAAGTACTTCCATTAATGAATGGAAGCACTTCAATTTAGTTGGTTACTTTCGTTTCTTTAGCCTTTGACTGTTGTTTGATGCGGTAATCTGACAGAGCAGCCTTAATTGCATCCTCGGCAAGCACTGCAATTTACGAAAAAATTGTAACTGATAAAACTGATTACTAATTGTAGATATTACTAATTAATATTTATAAGATCACAAAATCCTGATACTTAATTATATTTGATTTTTACATTTTTTACATTTGGAATACATATTTGTCTTATCTCAGAAAATATTACTGACATTCTAATTTTAAATTAATAAAACAAAATTTTTAGTAGGTATGTGTACTTACTCGAACAGTGTAGCTTGACAGGCGGAAGGCAAAGCTCTTTTGCAATGTCAGTATTTTTCAATGCCAATGCTTCGTCCACCTGAAAAATTTAATAGCAAATTGAAATTCCTATATTTAAATTACATTTTACAGTATATAGTTACAACTTGAACATGAAGTAAATACTCGGACAAAATTGGAGGAAGCTTGTAAAAGATGCATTATTCATCATAAATATTTATTGATCATATTACATATATCATAGATTTTCAGTACTTGCAGTGAATAACAATGCAACCAGTGAGGACACCATGATTTGCATGTTTAAAGTTATAGTCATATAAAATGTGCTAATATATTACAAATTCAAAGAATAAATTTACTTTAGCATAATTAAGAATTAATCATAGTAAATTATAAATTAAAAAATCTCACCGTTTTTCCTTTAACCCATTCCGTTGCTAAAGAACTCGAAGCAATAGCAGAACCACAACCAAAAGTCTTGAATTTTGCATCAATTATCTTCCCCTCTTCATCGACTTTGATCTGAAGTTTCATCACATCGCCACAAGCTGGTGCTCCTACAAGACCTGTTCCAACTTGCTCATCATTCTTATCCAAGGAACCAACATTTCTAGGATTTTCATAGTGATCTATTACCTGTTTAATTGTAAAATCTCAGAACATTTTCATTTAAGACTTTCAGTTCAGAAATATTATATTATAATACACATGAACAATATGTATATGCAACAATTAATGATTTGTTAATAACACCATTAGCATATTATACAAATATTGTATAAATTGATAAATAAAATTTGAATATTTTATATGAATGTTCGTATAATAAAATAATATATGAAATTTTAGATAAAACAAATTGATTACTGTAAATAAAAGTCATTATATGCTATTGACTTTGGAAATGTAACTGATTGTGACATATATAATTTGTAAATATTATAATGGAATAAAAATAAAACGACGAATAAAGAGACGAAAATGCAATCTATGATCATATTTTGATGTATGCTGCCAATATACTAAAAATCTATAGTTTATGTTACATATACTATAGATCTTCAGCACTGTATATATTGGAACATGAGACACGATATGTTTATACATATAGTAAAAAAGTTACGCCATATTACATCACACAAATAACCAGGTTTATGTTATGCAATTATGAAATATTTTAATAGAAAATAATTTTTTATAAAATTATTATGCACACAGTCGCTTTCTGTATAAATAAGATTCTCTAAATTTTTTATCATGTTTACGCCGAGTACTCGATGCCAAATGAATCAGGCTCGAAACGTGACTACGTAAAAACGTGATATCAAACATTAAAAATTATACTCTATTCATATATATATATATATATATATATATAAACACATTCTGGTCGCTTATTTAACATAATAAATAAGATATAGATTATTAGATAATACTCGAACGTTAATAATAATAAAAGAACATGTAAATGTGAGACAGATTAAAGGTTAGAATTGGAATGATGACAAGGATAGAAAAATACGGTAATTACATTAGCGTGATAAAACACGGCTGGGACGCTCCGTGAAATAATCTTGGACGTCGCGCCGATTCCGGCGGGCAATGCCCGGAATAATGCCATCTCCTTTTATGCGCACTTTATCATGAATTCGATATATCTCTCCGATTGTCCGATTATTCCAAAGGACTCTGCCGCCTGCGTTCCGCTTCCGAGTTATGGCGCGATCCCATGGTGCGGAACGTATACGCAACGCGGAATTGGCGGAACGATGTCCGTCCAATCGCAAGCGTTCCGTCAATTGCGCTCCGCCGATATGTCTTTTCTAAACCAATCACGAGCGTTCCGCCAATTCCTCATTCCACCAATTCCGCATCATGGAACGCACTTAAGGTGAAATCACACGGTGTGGAAAAAGACTGCGGAATAGAGATTGGCTGCGTTCAGCAGAACGTTTGTTTTGCAACTGTTGTAAGTTTCCTTCGCGCTAATTGGATCATACTTTTAGATCTAGAAGAATGGTCCTATCTCAGCAGACTATGGCTGCATTCAGCGGACTCAACAGTTGAGTGAGCGTTCGCTGCTATTGACGTATTCTTCTAGATATAAAATTATGATTGGATGATCTAAAAGAATACACCAATAACAGCGAGCGCTCACTCAACTGTTGAGTCCGCTGAATGCACCCATT